CAAGAATGTGAACCCCTGCCCAAATGACGTTTTGTTGATTTTCTAAGTGAAAATAAGTCAACACATCCTCTACAGAGAACAGATTTAAATCTAGCATTTTTCTGCATATTTCAGCGCTTGATTTGTTTTTATTTACTGAGTTTAACACATATAAAAAATGAACACAACAAAAAATGTGCTATAACTTTTGCACAGGCCATATTTTATGTTTTCATTTTTTCTTGTATGTTAAATTCAGCAAATAAACAGTAATTGTGCATTCAAAATCAGCAAAAGTGTGTTCTCCGTAAAAATGTGTTAACTTATTGTCAGTTAGAAAGTCAACAAAATGTCGTTTGACTAGAATCGCTCAAACTTTTGCACACGACTGTAGTTTTGTAATGAATTGCATTTGAGTTCGCTTTACATTTCACATTCTGTATCGAAAGGTTCATGTAAGCTTTTCTGAGTTTTTTGTCTATTTTGTTTTCAAAATAATGACAAAACAGTGCAGAATGTAAATGATGGTTGTTCTACACACAACAACCTTCATGTCATAATAAAATATCTCATGTTCTTGTTAGAAACAGTTTCTCTGCTTGTACGAGGGAACAATGATCAACCTCTTTTTGCAGGCCCACTAGTGGCCACTCTGCCAGCGGAATGGAAATGGACTTGGATCTTTTTAATTAATATATGAAAATAAAATATTTTTCCCCGTAACTCCATTATCAGATGAACTAGGACATTGTTAATGGGAAATGTGACTTTATGTTGAGCTGCTAGTGAGCAATGAGGGGTGGAATGGGAGGGTTGTGCACCCCCTGCTGTAAAAGCAATTCACACTCTCTCCACAAACTCATTGAACTCAGAAAAACACTCAGTGCGTTTACATGCACTTAATAATCCGATAACTCAAGACAGTAATTGGATTTCTGCTTTGCAGCCAGCCAGTAAACTCACAAGAAGACATGACATAATGTAAAAGTCAAACTTCGTGCCACGACTTTTTTTTTTTAAAACATTGCGCCTTTTTACCTGAAAATATAAACATACATCATCTTGAAGATGAAGAATATTTAAATCCTTAATTTCATGAAAAATATAGTCAGTTTCAGCGTTGCTCCAGAAGTGTCCAGAATAAGCTGCTCGCTTATTTCCGTCTGTTCTGAGAGATCTGAGTCTGAGAAATCTGAAAGAAATCAGAGTAAGAGAATACATACACTGAGAAATCTGATTACTGAGCTAAAATCCAGCTATCTTTACTGGATTTCGTAATCGGATTTCTAGATCGGAGTATGATGTTTACATGACCATTTGAATAATCAGATAACTGCAGAAATCTGATTATGATTGAATTATTGCATGTAAATGCACTCAGTTTTTATAAATGTTAACTTGCTTGCACACCTATGAACATGAAAATCAATTTCTGTTATGGTTTTTAAAAAAGTACATTTTGTTATTGAAAAACACTTCATTAATGTCATAGTGTGAAAACTGTGAGACCTCTGAAAAGGGCAGAAATTGCATTTTACAGCTACTGTAAGAACAGCCATTTCTGGAGCACGTAGGACCCAACGGGGTTAACACTGTACGCAGGGGTTAAACACCATACATTCCTCAGTTGATTGACAGTGCCAGCTATGTGTTCCGTAAAACGTTGTGCTTTCCAAGCCGTTGACATCGCCACACTCCCTGGGCCGTTTTGCTTCCTAGGATTTTGTGGGTGAGGTCAGGGGGACTCCCAGCACCCCCCTCTCCAGCCACAGGCAGCCTGTGATGGGCTCAGCCTAGCAAACATAAGCTCTGCTGGAGCCTCAGTCCTGAAGTTTTTTTGGGTGAGGAGAAAAGAGCGGGTGATTTAGCTTTGATTTATGTTGGGTGGAAAGCACAGGAATCCATGGTGTTCCTCAAAATGACTCACTCCAGCAGCAAGAAATACGGCTTTCTGGTGGAGCCTTATATCATGCTTAATACTTTCTGCGGTTGAGGCCCTTCAGTCACCACTCTGGGCTTTAAATGTCCATGTAGCTTCCCCAAGACAAACCTCATCTTTTTGAAGAGAAACACCAAAACCAAGTGAAGGACACAATAGTCTGTCCAAGTGTTGGTTCAGGTTGGAAGGCTGTTTTTAGCAGTGCAGTTTAGCCTATTTTTGTCTATTTGTAGATAACAGTGTGTCGTACAGTGTCAGAAACCACTTGAGCAAGTCTGTTTGAGATTACTTAACAATTCAGCACTATTCGAGGTACAGTTTTAGGTATACAGTTCATACAGTGCTAACTGAGCGACTGTACACATCTGTCACTTGTTAGCTGCATTAGCCTCGTAGCTCAAGTCTAAACCTAAAGAGCCAAACTTCAAACAGTGAACAAGTCTTGGCTGATCAGTTGATTTTGTGTTAAGGGAGAAATAGTATAAATTTGACTTCAGGCTGCTTCTTTAAGCACCTCTTGACCTCTCTGATGCCCCTCTGTAGAGCATTAGCGTAAATCCAGTTTGGGTTTAAATTACTGTGAAAGTAATGCAGCTGGGAGCCAGTAATTTACTGTAATTTTACAGTGACATTTTTACAGTTTTCTGCAATTTGTAGTGCATATCTATTTATTTTCAGTGTAACATTATTGAAATAAATATAAAATTTATATATAAAATAAATATAAAATTTGAATGCACAATTTGATTTTATTAGCTGTATTTAACATATTGGAGAAAAGTTAAATATAAAATGGGCAAAAAGACACTTTTTATGTTTCATTTTTCTGTAATATATTCAGTTCAGCAAGTAAAATGTAAAAATCCTTAAAATCCCAGGCCTATTATGTATTAAGGCTTATTATTCAGTAACAACAGGGCAATCAGTGCAAACTGGCTGAGCTATTCTTAAGTTATAGAAGTGTGTAACAAAATTTTGGGCCCACTGGTGGGCTCTGTCCATTTAAGGGGTTAAACTGTGTAAACTTATTTTCACATAGAAAACCAACTAAACATGTAACCTTTGCATACGACTGTACATAATGGTGCCATGGAAACATAAACAGGATCCATTTGGGTCACAGCCCTTCCATGATCCATGCCCATGGTTCCGTTTCTTCAGGCGTGGTCCTCTAACTTGCTTCAGTAGTTCCATCTCGGGGACTTTGAGGTTGGACGGCGTTGCGTGCTTGATATAGCACCTGTCATTTTTTATGGGAAATGGGTGGAGCGGCATTTTCCTCCTCTCGCCCTCTTTTGGTGTGCTTTGATAAGACGACGATTAGTCAAATGTGCGCCCACATGTACAGGAAGAAGCGTGTATCTATCACCTGTCCGCCATCAGCATCAGAGGGATGGGGATTCTATCACACACTCGCTACCCTGCCAGAAGTCTTCCCTATGAGAACACGCTTGTTGGAAAGGCTAGCAGTGATCGTGTCTGCATGTAGCTGCAGCTGTGGTTTGGAACTGTGTCTGCAAGTGTAACTCTGATTAGGTTAGTGCAATAGCAGAGCATGTTGGCAGTTGTCTGACCGTTTACGATTCCATTATGACCTTTTAGTACGGTTTATTGTGTTTTTATTAGGGCTGTCCACACGCAGTTCCTGTTTATCTGTTTTTCATTTGTGAACACGCTTCAAGATGGGCCTTGATCCATGAGGGAAAGGCTGTATACTCTTATACAAGGTTCCTAAATGGTTCTTGGTGTATATGTGTAGCTCTTGGAAAATCCTTTAGTTGGTGTAGAACCTGGTCCTTTAGATGCAGAACATATGCAGAACCTCTCACGTGAACATATTTTTATACTATGTGTAATTTATACACTATTTTTATACATATGCTAGTACTATATATATATTATATTTACTAGTGTTTAAGTAACAAAATATACATACATACATACATCATCTAAACCACTTATCCTTCTGGGTCGCGGTGGGGTGCTGGAGCCTATCCCAGCTGTCATTGGGCGGAAGGCAGGATACACCCTGGACAGGTCGCCAGTCCATCACAGGGCAGACAGACAGTAACAAAATATAGTGTAATGTTATGAAATACTTTTTTAAATGAATCCTGTCTGCTTTCTTTATTTATATATGCTTTTGTTGTTTGGCCTTCAGTCCCTCTTTGCACTTTGCCCCCCAAAACAATAACTGTTGTATGGTGTTGCCCAAAGAACCCTTTTGGCAGCTTTATGACAATGTGTTGGGCTAGTTACACAGTACTTTGGAGTTTCTATTACATACTTAACCCGTTAATACTTAGAACTTAAACTATAAAAGAAAGTGTTAACAAATAATCAACATCCAGTTTATTCCACTGCTGTGATCGACGGCAAAAGTTGGAAAAGCTCTTGACGGAATGTCCCACTGACTGCTGCGGTACGCTGCAGGCTATGGAGGAGCTTTTCATCACCGTTCCATGCTCCATTGAAGACAATGGAATATCTGGTTTGCATCAGCTGCCTATTGCCAACATGTAAACGCAGTATAAGTATTGGCCTTATCATCAGAAGATAATGAGTGATCGCCGTCCAGGCCTTGGAGATCAAGCGTTCACAGTTGTCCTCTCTCAGGATTGCCCTCCCTTTCCCTGTCAATCAGCATGATTCTAGTCAACACGGATGTCTGTTAACTGATGTAACAGAATTAGTAGTTAGTGTTCTCCTCCAAGCGCGTTGAGCTCTACAATGACGTTGTATTAACGGCAATATGAAAATGTCATGGGATGTCGGGATAACCTGCTAGCATCTGCCCTCCCAACTTGATAGCATCATGTGATGGTAGAGTCTTAGCTAGCGGGTCGAGATGGCCATAACTACTCTTGGGAGGAAATTGCATAAAAATCGAAGGAAATAAGAAAACATGTATTGTGCTTCAAAGTACCGCAATATTATATTTTTGATATATTGCCCATTCCTATGATCATGGTAATTTCCAACTGTTATGTACAGTGCTTGTCTGAATGCTCATTGTGTTTTGCCCATATTAAATCAATCTCTCTCTCTCTCTCTCTCTCTCTCTCTCTCTCTCTCTGTGCAGTCTCACCCGTTGTCTCTGTGTAACACCAGTGAGGATGAGCGGCAGGAAAGCATCTTCATCAGCATCGTTAAGCTGGAGAGTCCAGAGAGCAAAGTGCCACAGTGCCAGCCTCTGCTGGACAAGGTAAGACTCATGAAACACACAGACCCACACTCACACGCTCCAACCTGCTCCACCCCAACCTCTGCCAACATTTGTGTTTGCTCACTGATGAAGGTAATGGTGGTATCGAGCTGGGCATGGACTATCTTGGCATCAAGGCACAAAGCAGACCTGTGTATTTGTGCGTTGAAGAGTGATAGAGAGAGAGAGAGAAAGAGAGAGAGAGAGAGATAGTCTCCACTATCCCACCACCCCTACCTTTGGCACCAGGGGCATATCTAGGATCATATGGGCCCCAGTACAATGGCCCCCGTATAAAAATTGACTTTCAGTGATGCAGGAATGTACAATTATATGTAAAAGTTTGAACACCTCCAGTCAAAATACATGTTCTATTGATCTTCTAAGGAAAAATAAGTTAAATATTAAAATATAACCCTTAAAAATGGCATTTTTTCTGATCTTTTTTGAGTTTAACATATTGAAAAAAAATAAAACACAAAATATAAAGTGTGCCGGGCCAAAATTTATGTTTCTTTCCCCTAATGCAGTAAATACGCAGTAATTTTGTGTTAAAATGTGCTGGATGTGTTTCCTGTACAAAACATGTAATTTGACCAAGGGCGCCCAAACTTTTGCATCTGTAATTTGCTTGTTTACTTACTATTGTTATGTCTCAAGCAATTTGATGCTCCTGCCACCCCACCTACTTTGTCCCCACTATTTCTGTTAGACCTCTTGTTCAGGTTAATGTTAAAGTTGAGTAATGAGTATCGTGTGAGAGATCTGTTAGCATGAATGAGACGCACTATGAATAAGAGGGAGATAAACAGATGCCAGGCCTGTTTGTGTTGATGGACGCTAACCGGTGAGGTATGTTGTTGAGAAATTGGATCTGTCTATGAGTCATGGGTATACAGTTGGGTCAGTATCTGAATATGGGCTCCAATAAACATTTTAGGGGGCCCGGTTGCTATGGGAACCCCCTGCGCCATGGGTCCCCAGTCGAATTGCCGCTCCTGTCCTTCCCAGTAGTTATGGCACTGTTTGGCCCTCTTGTTCTCCCTCGGATCTCCTCCTGAGAGAGAAGCGTGCAGAGAAGTAGTTCTACTTTACGGAAGGTAGAGGAAAATTATGGTGTCTGTGACCATTAAAAATAGAGGTCACCAAAGGTTCTTTTATGTACTGCATCCACAAAGTACCCCTTTTAGGTTCGGTTACATTTGTCCACTCACTAAATGCTCTGATCTAGAGCGACTTACAGTTTAATCATAGTACAGATGTAGGCATATGTAGAGTTAGGAGACTTCCCAAGGACCGTGGTGTGTATACCTGGGCGGGGAATCGAACCCCAGTCTATCAAACGGAGGTCTGCCAACTACGCTGTACAACCTTTTGGTTGTCAATGTCCAGAGAACATTTCAACATAAAATGTGCCTTAAAGAACCTTTTTGAAATTTAAAGAATGTAATTTTACTCAAATGTTTTCCTTTATATTCATAATTATTTTAAAAACGTCATAAAGGTAAAACGATTGCTTTGATCATCGTGTACGTGCAGTCCAGCCTTTCATAGGAGAACTTAAGGAATCTTAATGATTCAACATCCACTGATCTCCAAGACCCCAAAAGGAACAGATTACCACATAAGACCTCATGTTGCAACCTCCAGCCTCTTGGATCAGCCTCTGTCGCAAATGAAGTGCATTGCAAAAAAGGCTCTTACTCCCCATAGACATTTAACTACGTAGGTTGCATTTCTTCTTTTGGCTCTCACATCAAGCTTTGTCCGGGGCACATTGCTTGCTTCATATCAAGGACGCAATAGATCCATTCCCAGATGCAGACGAGGATTCCCCCAGTCTGAGAGCCCGGAATCGCTAAACATTCAACTACAGCCAGACTCCATCTGCTGGGAGGGCTGTGATTTCACAGTTTGGGATTATACATGGCAAGTAAATGAAACAGGCCGCCAGCAAATGTGAAGCTGAGTCAGTTATCTGATGATTGCTCAGTCGGAAGCCACCCTTGAATGATAGGGTGGTGTCAGTGATCCCTGTGGTCTTTCTGGGAACTGTTTGATGTCAGATGCAATGACATGTTACTTTACTTCATGCTCACCCTGACCTGATCAAATGACCAGCATGAATTGACATGAATAGTCTTTGGTCATAATTTAACATGACTTTTGCAGCTTCCCATCAAAGCAACTCTAATCACCAGTGGGGCTGGGTATCGTAATTAAGTACCTTTTTGATATTGACTAAATTTTTCATTCAATACCAGATTTCAGTGTCTGAGTAGTGAGTCGGTATCAGTGTGCCAGGAAGCATGCTTGTTCCAAAATCAAGGAAGCTGATTGGCTGTCTAAATTACATGTTGTTAATGTCATAGCTTTTGGAATTTTGAGTGGTGATTACTCTGCAAATATTTGCAATATTCGACTTTTAACTCAGTATGTTTTGCATTTAAAAAAGGGCATTAAGGCAGAATTCAGAATTTTTTTCAGTATGGCACAGTGGTGCATCGATTCGGAGCATTTTTTGATAAAGCAAAAATAAGAAGTGGCTGAAATTTTTTTTTCTATGTTCATTTCCATTTTTTGGTTTATTAGAGCATCCAACATTAGAAAAGAACAAAGTCTGTCGCAAAAGCTGTGCTTTATAGTGGCCCGATAGAATGCTTTAGCTGCAAGCTAATACACTAGCCCCAGGCTAAAAAGCTAGCCCAAAGCTAACTAACTAACACAGTACAACAATACAGTAGGATACAATACAATACTCTGTGATTGATACGTTGTGTTGTTACATCTCTGTTTGGCATCAGTATTAGTATTTGTATTGGAAAATTTCGAACAATACCCAGACCTCGCCAAACGTGTAAGGATTGTCCACCGTGGACCATTTCACAATAATGTGAGAAGAAATGGATATGAAATCTGTTTGTTCAGTTGTGTATGTTCTGTTGGCTCTGACTTACTTTAGCACATGATTTTATGTATACGTATAGCTGGGTCAAACGTTTGTTACCCCTGGATGAGTAGGTAAAATCTCTAAAATCTTGCCGGGTGCTGTGGGGCAGTCATGGGCTGGAGGTTAGGGAACCGGCCCTGTGACTGGAAGGTCACTGGTTCGATCCCCTGAGCTGACAGTACATGACTGAAGTGCCCTTGAGCAAGGCACCTTACCCCCAACTGCGCTGTGGATAGGGCTGCCCACTGCTCCAGGCAAGTGTGCTCACTGCCCCCTAGTGTGTGCTCACTAGTGTGTATGTGGTGATGGGTTGAATGCAGAGGTGAAATTTGCCCATTGTGGGACTAATTAGGGTCACTAAATGATTTGTCACTTAATAACTTAAATCTGAAGGTTATGAGTGATGAGTCCATGATCACCAAGGTCAGTTCATCTGTATCTACACCTGCAGAAGTCCTCAGAAACTCCTACTGTCCAAGCATCACATCTGTATTTATAAGCCTCTACATCAGTACATTTCTTTATCACCTTGAGGGGGATTCTGTTTGGAGTATTTGCACAATGCATGCTGGGTATTGTAGTGAGATCATTAATGGACGAAAGGATACAAAATCAGGAATTCTGTCAATTTGATGAGGCTGAGGGATGTGATGCTGCGCTACAGAGTGTTAAATAACAAGACAAATCACATTAATGCTAGTTTTAGGCCGGAATGCCAACTTAACCCTCTTGTTATCCTCAAATTTACCAACATTTTTTGTCCTTGGGGTCAGTTTGACCTCAACTATTTAAACATTTGGGAAATATCAATGCTCTGGGAATTATGATTTCCCTTCCTCCATGTGATGTGGTGCACTATCACTAATTCTCGCACTAATATGGGTGTGGTTATGTTAGGTCAGGGTGCTAAAGCAGAGGGAAGTTTTTTGAAGATTATAAAATTGGATGTTAATATCATCCAAAACAACCAAAACAAATGTGTGTAAAATGTTGATATTTCTTAAAACAGCCGGTGTACAAAGCATGTAAAGGACATTGAAAACATCTCATGTGAAGTTGATGTTTACCCTGTTGTCCTCGTTAAATTAGGAAAAGTCATGAAATATGAAGCAAAACAATGATGTCAGTCATTTATTTAGAGACGTTAAACATGGAATGAGATCAAACTGACCCTAAAGATTAAGTGGATTAAGTTATCTAAGAGGGTTAGAGGGTTAAGTGATCTGTCTCCAGATTTGATCACCACTTTTAAAATGCAAATTCTATTCATTTTATGGCATTTTTCTCTTCTTCCTGTCCAGTTTTCTCAATTACTGTGGAATCATCTCCAGCTTTTTCCATTATCCTCAAAGCATCTAAAACGTCAGAAATTTTTACAGCGTCCTGCATAATATTGGAAACTTACGAACGTGTCAGAATCGTTTTATATGAGTGTGTCTAAAGCAGGATCAGTTTTATGTTATTGACTCTGTAAGTACTTAAAGCCTTGGAGTTATGTACTTCTCCCTGCAAACACTCCGGTCTACACCAGTCCAGTCCTGGAATGAGAGGAGCTCCAAATATTTACCCAAAGGACCTCATCGTCACCCGGATAGTCCAAACATCCCCTTGGGTTTCGATTTTGGAGATCTATCTCTCTTAACGAACACGTAATATGTTTATACGTCCCACGGCATTGTAATTATGAGCGCTGGCCTTGGATGGAGAGCGAGGAAATTGTTTTCTTTCTTTTTCTTTGCCCCGCACTAAGCACTAGGCAGAGGGCTTAATGCGTAAAGCTCGTGTTTTCATTGGTAGAGACGGGAGCTGGCGAGGGTGCTCCTTTCTGAACGGGGGGACTGAATGGAGGAGGGATGAGTGCGGCACTTACGCCCGTGTCTGAACTTGTTGGCCCCCGGTGCGGCTCCTTTCTCTCTGCCGCACCGCTTTAAAGATGCTGCAACGCTTCGTTGAGCCATTCCTAATCCTGTTTACTTTTGAAATGGAAATAAGGATGAGAGGGAAGAGCGCAAAGTATGCGTACGTGTGCCTATGTGTGTGTGCGTATGAG